TGTGATTGGTGAGGATGAGTGGTGAGTAGGGAGGGTGAGTGGTGAGGGTGAGTGGTGAGTGGTGAGGGTGAGTGGCGGTTGTGAGTGGTGATTAGTGAGGGGTGAGTGGTGAGGGTGAGCGTGAGTGGTTAGGGTGAGTGGTGAGGGTGAGCAGTGAGGGTGAGCAGTGAGGGTGAGTGGTGATTGGTGAGGGTGTGATTGGTGAGGATGAGTGGTGAGTGGTCAGGGTGAGTGGTGAGGGTGAGTGGTGAGGGTGAGTGTTGAGGGTGAGTGGTGAGTGGTTAGGGTGAGTAGTGAGGGTGAGTGGTGAGCGTGAGTGGTGAGTGGTGAGCGTGACTGGTGAGGGAGAGTGGTGAGGGAGAGTGGTGAGGGAGAGTGGTGAGGGAGAGTGGTGAGGGAGAGTGGTGGGGGTGAGTAGTGAGTGGTGATTGGTGAGGGTGAGTGGTGAGGGTGAGTGGTGAGGGTGAGTGGGGAGGGTGAGTGGCGGTTGTTAGTGGTGATTAGTGAGGGATGAATGGTGAGGGATGAATGGTGAGGGTGAGCGTGAGTGGTGAGGTTGAGTGGTGAGCAGTGAGGGTGAGTGGTGATTGGTGAGGGTGTGAGTGGTGAGGGTGAGTAGTGAGGGTGAGTGGTTGTTGTGAGGGTGAGTGGTTGTTGTGAGGGTGCGTGGTGAGGGTGAGTGGTAAGAGTGAGTGGTGAGGGTGAGTGACGGTTGTGAGAGGTGATTAGTGAGTGGTGAGGGTGAGTGGTGAGGGTTAGTGGTGAGGGTGAGTGGCGGTTGTGAGTGGTGATTAGTGAGGGGTGAGTGGTGAGGGTGAGCGGTGAGGGTGAGTGGTGAGGGTGAGCGGTGATTGTTGAGGGTGTGACTGGTGAGGATGAGTGGTGAGTAGTGAGGGTGAGTGGTGACGGTGAGTGTTGAGGGTGAGTGGTGAGGGTGAGTGGTGAGGGTGAGTGGCGGTTATGAGTGGTGATTAGTGAGGGGTGAGTGGTGAGGGTGAGCGTGAGTGGTGAGGGTGAGCAGTGCGGGTGAGTGGTGATTGGTGAGGGTGTGATTGGTGAGGATGAGTGGTCAGGGTGAGTGGTGAGGGTGAGTGGTTGTTGTGAGGGTGAGTGGTGAGGATGAGTGGTGAGGGTGAGTGGCGGTTGTGAGTGGTGATGGGTGAGTGGTGAGCGGTGAGGGGTGAGTGGTGAGGGTGAGTGGTGAGGGTGAGTGCTGAGTGGTGAGGGTGAGTGGTGAGAGTGGTTAGTTTTGAGGGTGAGTGGTGAGGTTGAGTGGTGAGGGTTAGTGAAGAGTGGTGAGTGGTGATTGGTCAGTGGTGATTGGTGAGGATGAATGGTGAGTAGTGAGGGTGAAGTTGAGTGGTGAGGGTGAGTGGTGGTTGTGACGGTGAGTGGTGAGGGTGAGTGGTGAGGGTGAGTGGTGAGGCTGAATGGTGAGGGTGAATGGTGAGAGTGAGTGGTGAGGGAGAGTGGTGAGTGAGAGTGGTGAGGGTTTGTGGTGAGGGTTAGTGGTGAGAGTGAGTGGTGAGGGTGAGTGGTGAGGGTGAGTGGTGAGAGTGAGTGGTGAGAGTGAGTGGTGAGGGTGAGTGGTGATTGGTGAGTGGTGAGGGTGAGTGGTGAGGGTGAGTGGTGAGGGTGAGTGGTGAGGGTGAGTGGTGAGGGAGATTGGTGAGGGAGGTTGGTGAGTGGTGAGTTGTGAGGGTGAATGGTGAATAGTGAGTGGGAGTGGTGAGTGGTGAGGATGAGTGGTAAGGGTGAGTTGTGAGTGGTGAATGGTGAGGGTGAATGATGAGTACAGTCAATATGCACTGCTATTATCATACCAGGTACCACCACCACAATATGTACTCCTCTCATCATAGCAGATACCACCACAGCAGTATGCACTGATGTAATCATAGCAGGTACCACCACAATATGCACTGCTGTCATCATAACAGGTACCAACACAGCAGTATGCACTGCTGTAGTGATAGCAGGTACGACCTCAGTCGGTATACACTGCTGTAGCGATAGTAGATACTGCTATCGAGTTGGTAGATACCGCTATAGTAAATACTAAAACAGTCAGTATATACCACTACAGTCAGTCAATACTGCTACAGTCAGTATATACTACTATACAGTCAGTACATATTGCTACGGTGAGTAGCTACTAGAGTCAGTAGATACTATTATAGAGTGAGTAGATACTGCTATAGATTTTGTAGTTACTACTATAGTCAGTGGATACAACTATAGAGTCAGCAGATACTATACAGTTAGTCGTTACGAGTATATAGTCGGTAGATACTACTGTAGGCCCAGTAAATACTACTATGGTCAGTAGTTATTACAGTCACTAAATACTACTACACAGTCAGTAGCTACTACTGGCTCAGTAGATACTACGGTACAGTCAGTAGATACTACTACAGAGTCAATAGATACCACTTCCTCTGTTGTATGTAAGGTGTTGTTAGTATATATACCTACGAGGTGTAAAGATATTTTTTGAGGGGGGGGGGAGACCACAATTTTCGGAAACATTTTGACATCAACTATTTACCCCACACTTTCTACAACTTTTTGGACTTGTGAAAGCCTCTTATATATTTGTTGGTGGAAAAATGTACAAACAGCCCACCGGGCTTTGACAATACCTTAGTATCTGTGTATATATATGTAAGGTTTTTAAGAAAGATATTTTTCACCCGGGCAAAGCCGGGTACTTCCGCTAGTAGTAAATAAATAAAGCGTTAGATAACTAAATAAAGAGAAATCGCACTAAATCGATAATCGGTCCGATTTAAAGTTTAGAGACGAAAAATCGGAAATGCCTAAGTTTACCGCGGGGCCGGGGGCATGCCCACCTGCAAATTTTTTTCGTCCTAAACCCCACGGCTCGAGCGCCAAATCCCTCGCAAGCGAGCGTACGCAGAGGGACAGATGGACAGACAAAAAGTGACGTTTATAGGTTAGATACTCATCTTGGAATGTTTTGTATACGGTTTCTCGACGTTTATTTCAGTAATTTAGTTTATTGGGAATACAGTACAGTACTTATTTAAATTGTGATGTATATTTTATATGCCGTTTACCTAACTCCATTATTTAGGTAAGGATTAAATATTTAATATTGGCATTTTAGCTTTCGCACGGCACTTTCCAAGAATGTAACCTCCGCGCTATTCAAGGGGCTGCTGTATTTTCTATCCATCAGCTATAGCACAGGAGTACGGATTTCAGCAGAAACTATATTTCTGCTTTCTTGGTGTAATTACGGCCTATAGTACCATAAAAAGGCTTGGGGTTTTGGATTGTTTTTCGTTTTAGATATCTCTGCCTCTGCTCACATTCGTTGAGGATTTTTATGATTTTTGGATGGCCCATCTAAAGCTGCGTGACCAGGAGTCGGATCCTTTTCCTGTTAAATTTGGCATCTGGCCGAAATTCCCTCTGGCCCCATGCATTACATTACGTAGCATTTTCAAATAATTGTGTTTTAAGAAGCTCGCAATAGCCCTATAAAAAATGCATTTCATAGAGTAACAATGATACCATAATCGATGCCTGGTTATAGTCAAGGGATTGTCCCCTGTTGGTCAACCATGTTACGCATGTTGATGATCTGGTCATGGCTACTCAATGATATTGAATTGGAGAATCGTGTTTTGTACCTTGAGAATTCCATGACGAAATGGGGCCTTGCATATGTTCTACAAAAATATCACCTCCCTGGGAAAATTTTGACCTAAAGCTTTCATAACTGCAGGAATTCATATTCTTTGGGTCTTTCGGTTAAGTGATGTGACTTTACCGAAAGACCCAAAGAACACCTCCCTGGGAATTTAATGTCATTCAACACTGCACCTACTCAGCTCTCCATGAATAATCAGGTCGTTCTACACGTGGTGGAGGAGCTCCTATACCTGGTTAATGTGTTCACGACCAGCTTTGGTTTGGCATCCAAAGTCTCACTTCAAATTGGTCTAGCAGCATTCTTTTATTAGGCTCTGTAACACTATGTGGAAGCTGCCTGGACTTTTTTTGATACAAAGCTGTGAGTGTCCATCGCCAAGGTCTAGTCCATTGCAAAGGTCTCCTAAAAAAAACAGGCAATAGTCTACATTATAGACTGCCAATACACTCACCGAGGTTAAGAACCAAGCTACAGTCTACATTATAGACTGCCAGTACGCTCACCAAGGCTAAAAACCAGGCTACACTCTACATTAGTCGTTTTTTTTTCTTCTATTCACTTTATTTGTATTATTTTCTATCTACATGACTTTACCGAAATAACCAAAGAATATGAATTCCCGCTATTACAAAAGTTTTAAGTCAAGATCATCCCAGGGAGGTGATCTTTTTGTAGAACATATGCAAGGCCCCATTTCGTCATGGAATTCAACAGGTACAGAACAAGATTTTATAAGAATGGAAACAGTCAGGAAATTAACACTCCACATATGCAGCTGAAGTTAGATCTGTTCATCCTCGCATTCAAGCTCATCTGAGTCTGGCTTCACACCTCTAAGTTGCAAATGAACATTATTTTATACATTTCTACATAATACAAATATTCTTTTCAACAGCCTTTGCTATGTTAGCTAATTTTTCTTAAATAAATATTCCTGTCGTAGCGAGTCAACCAAAATTGTGTGTTTGGAGTTTTTGGTAAACATTCATTTTAAAGACACTAGGGTGTCCAGGCATATTTATGACCATTTGCCCTCTCATTGTGTGCCTTAGCAGCCCTTGTGATGAATTGGGGAATCTCTTTCACTATATCATTAAAATATGAATATGTATAGATGTGTAAGTCATGTGTGACTGTTTATATGCATTCCTCTGTGCCTCAATACTCACATAGATGGTGTGGACATGCTTTTCTGTCTGCAGCTGACCCTCGCTCTGCAGAATTGGCCTGATGGAGCAAAGGCACTCAGCGCAGCTCAGTACAAGAAGGAAACAATGCGACCAGCATGTAAACATCATGGATCGTACTGGAAAATTGACACAGCACCAGAGAACACACAAAGGAGAGATGCCCTTCAAGTGCAGTGTGTGTGAGAAGGCATTTTCAGATTCATCTTCTCTTAAACAACACCAGAGAACACACACAGGAGAGAAACCTTTTAAGTGCACTCTGTGTGGGAAGGCGTTTGCACAGTCATCACATCTTAAGAACCACCAGAGAATACACACGGGAGATAAACCCTTCAAGTGCAGTGTGTGTGAGAAGGCATTTTCAAATTCATCTACTCTTAGAATACATCAGAGAACACACAGGAGAGAAACTCTGCAAGTGCAGTGTGTGTGAGAAGGCATTTTCAGATTCATCTTCTCTTAAACAACACCAGAGAACACACACAGGAGAGAAACCTTTTAAGTGCACTCTGTGTGGGAAGGCGTTTGCACAGTCATCACATCTTAAGAACCACCAGAGAATACACACGGGAGATAAACCCTTCAAGTGCAGTGTGTGTGAGAAGGCATTTTCAAATTCATCTACTCTTAGAATACATCAGAGAACACACACAGGAGAGAAACTCTGCAAGTGCAGTGTGTGTGAGAAGGCATTTTCAGATTCATCTTCTCTTAAACAACACCAGAGAACACACACAGGAGAGAAACCTTTTAAGTGCACTCTGTGTGGGAAGGCGTTTGCACTGTCATCACATCTTAAGAACCACCAGAGAACACACACAGGAGAGAAACCTTTCAAGTGCACTGTGTGTGAGAAGGCGTTTGCATGGTCATGCCTTCTTAAATCACACCAGAGAACACACACAGGAGAGAAACCTTTCAAGTGCACTGTGTGTGAGAAGGCGTTTTCACGGTCATCCATTCTTAAATCACACCAGACAACACACACAGGAGAGAAACCTTTCAAGTGCACTGTGTGTGAGAAGGCGTTTGCACGGTCATGCATTCTTAAATCACACCAGAGAACACACACAGGAGAGAAACCCTTCAAGTGCACTGTGTGTGGGAAGGCATTTTTGTATTCATCTACTCTTAAACAACACCAGAGAACACACACTGGAAAGAAACCTTTCAACTGCACTGTGTGTGAAAAGGCATTTTCATTGTCATCATATCTTCAGACCCACCAGAGAACACACACAGGAGATAAACCCTTCAAGTGCAGTGTGTGTGGGAAGGCATTTTTGTATTCATCTACTCTTAAACAACACCAGAGAACACACACTGGAAAGAAACCTTTCAACTGCACTGTGTGTGAGAAGGCATTTTCATTGTCATCATATCTTCAGACCCACCAGAGAACACACACAGGAGATAAACCCTTCAAGTGCAGTGTGTGTGGGAAGGCATTTTTGTATTCATCTACTCTTAAACAACACCAGAGAACACACACAGGAGAGAAACCTTTTAAGTGCATTCTGTGTGTGAAGGCGTATGCAAAGTCATCAAATCTTCAGTCCCACCAGAGAATACACACAGGAGATAAACCCTTCAAGTGCAGTGTGTGTGAGAAGGCATTTTCAGATTCATCTAATCTTAGAAGACATCAGACAACACACACAGTAGAGAAACTCTTCAAGTGCAGTGTTTGTGTGAAAGCGTTTGCACATTCATCAAATCTTAAAAAACACCAGAGAACACACACGCATCAGAAAATCCACAAGAAGTGTAATCTGAAATCAGCTTGTGAAAGTCAAAGTGCTGCAATGACCCCATTGTTCATGAAACAAGAACCAGAAGACAATCCCAGCCTGGACACTTTGAAAGGTATCAAGGTGAAATATGAAGAGGCGAAAGTGAAATGTGAAGAAGTAACATTGAAGAGCGTAGAAGTGAAGGTTAAATTTGAAGATTCAACTCCAAAATCGGACCGTCACATAGATGGAGGCAGTGTGAAGCAGGAACTAAATTCTGACTGTGAGGCAGAGCGAGGCAACTCCCAGGAGTTTGTGGATGTGGAGGTGTGGGTGGACTTCTTAGACAATACAAAGTCAAATGGAGACCAGGTAGATGTGCAAGCTTGAGACAATTAAGCTCCAATGGATGCACCTTTGTCACAGGCCTTTCTAATGAATATAATGTGAAGTTGAACACTCAATTTCTAGGTTCAAACTGCAGTGTAAGAGTGGCCAGTATTTGTGAACCTGTGGGTTGGGGCGATCTCTAACCAGGAGTGACTCAAGTGTTTTGTATCATATCTCATCTTAGACACTCGATGGGTGCCCATAATGGGCATCTGCCCCTGTGTGCCACAAGGTGACCGTTCACTGGCCTGCATGTGGATAGGAGTTTGTAAGTCGGGGGCGATGATTGATATGCCAGTCGGATTTGAACCTTGAACCTCTGCAACAAATATAGAATGTACTACTACTTGGCTTCCCTCTACGAGAGTGCTGCACGTATAGGCCTCATCGAGTCAGAGATCAACTTGTAAATACATTGCAACGTGACGCAGTACATTTCGGTATAGTAATAAAATGTTGCCAATGTGCCCTTTGATTATTTTGAATCATTATTGAAAGAATACCTGTCTGATTTTGTACGTACATACAACATTTTGTGTATTAATGTAAAATATGGAATATGTGATGTCAGGACAAAGTATCTGTTTTGGTGGTAACCTGTACAAAAACTCACGTGAGAGCTGTTATTTTTGTGATACGGGTCAACGGGTATTTTTGTGAATCCGGACGCATCTGACTGAGGCAACTCATTGTCTTTGAAATCGGGAGCATAGTCAGATCATTCAACAGTTAAGGTATGCCACTTACAAGTTACGTATAGGAGATACATTCTCCTCAAGAACACTAATTATCATTTTGTATTACGTATACATTTTGTCGAACTGAGACTTGAAATGGACCTTGCCGATGAACATCAGTTGAAGCAAGCCGGACTGTTGTTGAGACATTGTACACCAAACCAGTCCACAGGTGGCTTGTACTGAACACATGTGTAGTGCCATAAGAGGGGAGGGGCTGCTGGGGGCTCTGGGATCCTAGGCAGATAAACCCTCGGCGCCAGGCGCTAGGATCCCAGGCACCCCAAACAGTTAAGCCCCTTGGCGCCACCAACGGGGGGGCTGTGCGTGCTCTGGGGTATCTGGGGTCGCACACAACCCCACCCCTCGTTGGGGACGAGGCATAAAAGGGCAGCTCCCTGGACGATCGGGGCCAGTTGCAGCTCAAGACCCAAGACCAGCCAGCTTAGGACCGTGGACCCCCTCCATCCCGCTTGTCCTTGTAAGGGCCGGGACGCTGTGAGGGCCAGTGGTGGGACTCTGGGACTCCCGGCTCTACGTCCTTGTAAGGGCGAGTTCAGAGGAAGCCAGATTCCAGACCCGCACCTTGGCTGGGTCGGGTCAATTAGCCTCCCCTAGGGTAATTGCAGCCGGAGGACCCCAGAGCGTAGCCAGAGTAGTGTATCTAGGCTGTGTACCTAGGCTGTAACAGAGTATCAGGACTGTTGGAGTGTTTTATTGTAATAAAGAAGATACCTCTACAAGTGTCTCCGGAACCCATTACACATGCATTCCTAAAAGTCCGTGGTATTTATAGTTTGTGTAAAACATTCCTTTGTTTCGTGTAGAGAACGTTGAATGAAAGATGTCTGCCGATCTGTTTTTTCGCAAGGAGGTACTTTAAAGAGCACATTTGAAGGCATCGTGGATTTTTGTTACAGATTTGTATTCTAGCCTAGGTTTTATTAAATTTTAACTTCTATTTAAATAAAACTTTAGATATATCTATCTGCATTGATATCCCACCTTGTTTACCACATGTTTACTTAAATATGTAGACGCTCCCTCTGAAGACGTCACCTCAAATTAACGAGTGGGTTACGTCAGGGCCTCCCCCTCTCTCTGGCTTGTGATGTCACCAAGAGCAGAACTCGCCTCCACGGAATCTAACGACTGCACTGTCTTGGAATGCATTTCCACAGTAATCAAATCTTCACAACTGCCAGGGAACACACATTAAAAACCACTGAATGTACACTTGGAAGGCATTTTGAATTGTCTTGAAACTGAAACACGCGTAAGGAGGTCTACAAGGAGCAGGGTCTGAGATTGACGTGTGAAATTTGAAGTTCCATAAGCCCATCATTTGTGATTCAAGGACCCAATAAAGATGGCAGCTGGGAAACGTCACCATTCGTGAAGGTGACCTGTGAAGGCTCTAGGGTTTGACTTCCAGGTCGCTAATGGAGCCCGAGACAAATCACAGCCATAAGTGTTGGGTAGACCTGTAACCAAGAGCATGAGACACGGTTTCCCAATGTTTATTTCAATTGTTTAGTTGATTTGGAATACAGTACGTATTTAAATTGTGATGTAAATTTTAATTGACGTTTACCTAACGCCATTAGTTGGGTAAGGCTTAAGTATTGAATATCGCGTTTTTAGCTGTCGCGCGGCATTTTCCAAGAACGTAACCTCCGATAATCAAGGAGCGGCTGTATTTTCTGTCGATCGAGTACAGCAGAGGAGTACGGATTTTTACTAGAAACTAGATCCCTGCTTTCTTGATGTAATTAAGGCCTATGGTACCCTAAATAGGCTTGGTGCTTTGGGTTCCTTGATTTCGATGTCTCTACCTCTGCTCACATTCGTTGAGGATTTTGATGATTGTGGGCAGGCCCATCTAAAGCTGCGTGACCAGGAGTTGGAACCATTTCCTGTTCAACTCGGCTTGTGACAGAAATTCACTTCGGCCCAATGCATTACATTTGTAATGTGAGGTTACACCTGGATGATGATGATTGGCTCTGCTGGCTTCAGCCCGCAACCAATGGGGAGTCGAGTTAGGGGCGTGGCCCTGGAGCCGTACATTAGCTTCGAGAAAGTTCCAGGGGTGTGGCTGAGGATTGGTTGCGGGGCATCACGTGGGCCAGGGATTAAAAGGAGCGGAGAAGCCACGCTGGTGCCGTGGTCCGGAGCCTGCCACGTAGCGGGCCCCGCAGTCTCTCTCACGCTGTCAGCCAACAGCGTGAAGGAGCTAGGGAACTGGAGGAACGAATGTGGTGGAAGCTGTGAACGAAACTGAATAAAAATTCTCAATTCACGATGTCGTCTCAACGGGGTTTATTACACATCACATAGCATCTTCGATAATTATGTAGTTTGAGAAGCTCACAATAGCTGTATAAATAAATTTCATTCGTCGCGGTTAAAAATAATACGCTTATCGATGACTGGTTATAGTTAAGGGATTATACTGGTAGGAACGAAGTGAACCAGCCTACAATAGATTATATCGTCCGTCCGTCCGATGTCCGATTACGTGTAGCAACATCGCCCCCTACTGCAAACACTTGGCAGGACCCTACAAAAACCTTAAGACTCAGTGAGGCTTTCCTGGCTAAACAAGTGTAACATTCCCTTATAATTCCCTGAGATAGTTTTAAATTAAAACATTTAAATTAAAAATTAACCCACAGCGGCCTAAAGCCTACAGCTAGGCCTAAAGCCTAGAACTAGGCCTCAAACTCTCCCTTCGTATCGTACCCCCGCCATTTCATTTTATTATAGCCATTCATTTGTGCGTTCCTACCAGCCCACCCCGCAGGGACCTGTTTCCCTGCTGGTCAGCCCTGTTGCATCTGCTGATGATCTGGTAATGGCTACTCAATGAGATGGCTGGCTGAGGTGCCATCTCTTGTTTTGCCGGACACACAGTAACAATAACAACAACCGCCATTCGCCACTAAGTGGCGGTCACGTCACCATGGCGCTTGTGCCAGGCTATGTGCACGGGGTAGACCCAGGTGCCATGGGTCGACTGACTCAGTTGACTGGCCGATGCACCATCTGTACCCCCGACTGTGCCAACACACAGTGTACACACACACACAGTGTACACGCACAGGGTACACACACACAGTTTGTACACACACAATGTACACGCACAGTGTACACGCACAGGGTACACACACACAGTGTACACACACACAGTGTACACACACACAGTGTACACACGCACAGGGTACACACACACAGTTTGTACACACAGTGTACACACACAGTTTGTACACACAGTGTACACACACACAGTGTACACGCACACAGTGTACACACACAGTGTACACACTCACAGTGTACACTCACAGTGTACACACACAGTGTACACACACAGTGTACACACACACAGTGTACACGCACAGTGTACACACACAGTGTACACACTCACAGTGTACACGCACAGGGTACACACACACAGTTTGTACACGCACAGGGTACACACACACAGTTTGTACACACAGTGTACACACACACAGTTTGTACACACACAGAGTGTACACGCACAGGGTACACACACAGTTTGTCCACACAGTGTACACACACACAGTGTACACACACACAGTTTGTACACACAGTGTACACACACAGAGTGTACACGCACAGGGTACACACACACAGTTTGTACACACAGTGTACACACACACAGTGTGTACACACAGTGTGTGTACACACAGTGTACACACACAGTGTACACACACACAGTTTGTACACGCACAGGGTACACACACACAGTGTACACACACACAGTTTGTACGCACAGTG